AAAGCAACGTAACAGATTTAAAAAACTTAGTTACAGTTTCAGATATATAAACAATTTTTTAAAATCTATTCAGCAAGTTTGATTAATATTCTCACAAACATATTCATCCGCGCTGTTTGGCGATTAAACATTTTCTGCATTTCAGTCGTTATAATTTAAATAAATAAGCAAACGTAATTTGACAAATCACAATTCACTCTTTGTAAACTCGTAAAACACGACAAATATTGTCAGAGGTCGTAATGTTAGTAATAAAGCAAATCAGCTTAATTGACTGGCGTAAAAGGAAAAGATGGAGGTTTTATGCCTAGCTTCAGAGAACTCTGGTTTATGTCTTTCTTGGTGAGGTTCTGACGTCAACAGTGTCCTCTTCGCTCATCAAAGCTGGCTGTGATATGAACTCTAGTTGAAGCATACAACAGCCACTTTGTGAGTGATGGGGATCTGACTATCTATTTACAGACTTTGCGTTGCGTAACAGGGCCGGTGTTCTGACGTTAGTAGAACCATAACCATTGGGTACAGATAATAATAATGACAATCACAGTTGCTGAGAGAAATATTTTGTGACAATATCGCTTATGAAATCATGTTTAGCTAACTACAAAACCGCTTACGTCAAAAAAAAAGATGTGAGATAATACACAGTTTATAAAACTCATAACTGTATAAAAACCATGTTTAGCCTTTAGTAACTGCAGGTTAAATTATACACTAAAAATGTGAAAAAAATCTGGATTAGTCATGGAATGATTACAGTTCTAAAATAATAGTATGAAAAAAAAACTGTAAAAGCAAAAATTCAGTAATGGGTAAACAAATTTAAAGAAACAATAAAAAATAAAACTGATAAATAAAAAGGGAAAGATCAAGACACCAGTTCAGTCTTAAGAAAACACTTCAAAAAAATTCGGTTTCAGTTATAAATCTTATAGATATATGTCAATAATCATGGATTAAGTCAGTTAAAGCTGCAAATAAGTTTTAGAAAAACTAAGTATAATAAACCATGTTTCAGTCACCTGGGTAAATAGGAAAGAACTTAGAGGACATGTTACAATTATAAAGATTCCTTAAATGAGAAACTAACTGAACAGAAACCAAGTTTTATTCACTAAATAAACACAACAGTAGAAATAAAAAACTCACAAGAGGAATTACTACAAGTGTATGGTTTCAATTATTAACAAACAGAAACATAAATAAGCCCTATACCAGAAACTAACTGAACAGAAACCAAGTTTTATTCACTAAATAAACACAACAGTAGAAATAAAAACTCACAGGAGGAATTACTACAAGAGCATGGTTTCAATTATTAACAAACAGAAATATAAATAAGCCCTATACCAGAAACTAACTGAACAGAAATCATGGATAAACGTAACTGTAAGATGCATCTTAGACAAGAAACTACAAATATACAAAACCCCAGTTTAAATCAAAGTAAACATAGTTATATGGAATTCACTTAACTAAAAGCCTATGAATCAAGTTCCTTGGCTTTGGATAAAAACAGCTGGAAAGAAAACCTTGGAGATGTCATCTTAAAAATTAACATTTCATTCTGATATAGAATATGCCTTTGCTAACTGTTTTATGAGTATTCTTATGTGCAAAGAACACTATACAAAACACTTGTTTATATTTTTATAATTTTCAAAATTAAAAGATTACTTCACAGTTTCACAGATAAAAACCAACACTACTTATGAAAAAGCAAATCATGAACAAAGTTATGAAATAAATATCCATTTACAAAATCAAGTCATGAGAGACAACAAAGCATTTTGTTTTAATAAACAAAGAAGAAAGAATATCTTATAGAGCCACATCAAGATGGTTATGATAAGACTATCCACCACATTGACAGTCAAGGGAAGCATGAGCTTTCTTTAATACAAGTAACCTTTCATTTACTTACATGTCAAAAACATGTGCTTAACACACCAACCATGATGTGTCTAACCTGATTTCTCTATGCACAACATGTATGGCTATGAAATGCATATTATTAAGGTATAGTTGAGTTATATCAATAATTAATATGAGGGAAAGATATACACACATTAGTTTAAGTGTACTGATTAGCACCTCATAAGTATAAGAACATGTACATTAAAATCATATTAATAGAAATAAAATCAAAATATTAGTATTCTGAACACCATGAACGTTCCAACCTTCATTCTGTAAAATAACTATTTATATCAGTTTTTGACTTCCAAAAATATCAAGTTAAACTAAAAGATGCTTCAAAATAAAAATTTATTTAAATGTAAAAACTCACATCATTACTTTGTATGATGAAAATTATGGAAACTAAATTTAATACATGAGAAAACAGTTTTATTCATTAATACTCTTTACTAATATGGTTATCAAGAATTTTGTTTTTATTGCACAAAAAATAAATTAGCTCTTTCTTTGCCAACTGCTTGTTTCTGTTAATTTTTCTCTTGCTATTAAAAGAACTTCAGGGATTTCTGTTAATTATTAATAACATTTTATAGAAATACTACATAAATATGTTTTCCTGAAAGAAAGAAAAAAAGAGACATAATAATTGCATATGAAACATCAATTCTGTACTGTTGATCTTGGTTCGATTTCTTTAAACATAAGTAATAACTACTCTGCATAAATATTCTTAGTGTTCGAATAAAATTATTTAAAATAAATCACCCTATATAATATATATATATTGAATGTTTCTTACTCTAATAATTTATTTTTTTAAATAAAACAGCTCAGCTTGACCTTTTCTATTGGATCATTACATCACAAATCTATCCCAATAGCAAACAGCACTAATATTGTGTTCAAATGTTCTTGGACTTTGATTTCTTCTTGATGATTCAGAAGATGCCATTTTTTTAGTTTTCACTGTCCTACAGCTCATCAAAGATGGCTGTGATATGAATCACATTTAGCACACATTTCACAGTCTCTTTGATGGCTGCAAAACAGAGTAGAATGTCTTAAGACTAAAATCAAGATTCCTCAAGTAGTTATAACAAGAGAGTGATATCATGATTCCTTAGGTAATTATCATGTGAGAGTGAAATCAAGATTCCTCAGGTAGTTATCACATGAGAGTGATATCAAGATTCTTCAGATAGTTATCATGAGAGTGATATCAAGATTCTTCAGATAGTTATCATGAGAGTGATATCAAGATTCTTCAGATAGTTATCATGAGAGTGATATCAAGATTCTTCAGATAGTTATCACATGAGAGATATCACTCTCATGATAACTATCTGAAGAATCTTGATATCACACGATTCTTCGGATAGTTATCACAAGAGTAATACCAAGACTCCTCATGGTAGTAAAAGATGAGAAATATCAAGGTTCCTCGCATACATGATAATAATCCCAACAATAGGTAGGATAGTATTAGTTGAGAGAAATATCAAGATTCCAAATGTTCCTGGGTAAAGCATAAACTTAAAAGTACAATAGTTTTACCTTTCTTTGACAAGCATGTGGGTTACATTGTCCTTTTCCATCACTTTAGCAGCAGAAAGTAAAGAGCAAACTACTTTCTATTCTTAAATTGTTCTTATTTTCCTTCCAACAGAACCAAACCAGAAAATAAATATAAGAATCTTGTTACAGTTTCTCTAGGAATTCTTTGTCCTTTTCACCAATATCGAAGTGGAAAAGGCAGGAAAACAACACAATTATTCCTTTATAGAAGTTATTAATATTATTTTCACCAAATCAAAGCAAAGAATAAAAGGAGAACAATCTACTTACCATTTGTCAGTAGTTTATGCCATCCTTTCCTTCAAAGACAAGGTAGTGAGATGATAACTTCAGCCACCTCTCACTACCCATGTCTTTCATGGAAAAAATGTTTTGAATCTAAATATCCCAAGCATCTGGAACGCCAGTTTTTAGGAAAGAAGTAATTCTAATACCTCAATAGCATAACACTTGTTATAAAAATATAAAGTGTGTAAGTTTCAGTACTAATTAGGCCAAACAACCAAAAAACATTTGTATGCAAACTTCAAAGAGTGTATTATATATATCTCATTTAAAATGACAGATTTAGTTAAACAGTATGAAGGTTTAACATTAAATATTACTTTCAACAAATACTAATGTATTTATATATGATAATGATTTTACTACTACAGAATAATATAGGTACTTTCAGATGATAGCAGAGCCATAACATATGTAGTATTCTGTCGTAGAAACAATGGGTTTAGTTCTGATTATTGTAAGTACTAACTGATATTTATTCTTATTAATTTTTCTATTACAGAAACTAAATATATTTTACTCATTAAATGAAGCACTTGCACTAAAGAGGTTCTAAAGTAACACAAATAAAAAAAGGTTTTGTATGTTATAATTTCTAGACAGCCCGTTCCAGCCTCACAGATTGGGTCTGCATTGTTTGTAATACATCACATATCAAAAGTTCCAAACTCAATACACAAAGAGATAAAATATTTATAGTGCTAGAATAAACAAAAATAGAAGTAATACTTTTAGCCCCTGAAAACTGTAGAAGCTTTTGGTACAGCCACAACATCAAAGCATAAATAACTTTTTCTACTTACTTACAGTAATGTAAATTTTCAAATCATGATAATTAATAACACTTTTGGTAATGGCAGGCTGATTGCAATGCACATGTAAGTTAATGGTACATCATTGACAACATATTTTATCACTTCTTTCTCTCCTGAGGTGATATTTCCCTAGACTGGTCTTTCAACCTGATGAAACATACAAAATCCCAGTAAAATCCAAAAGATTCGTAAAGAGTCTGCGAAATATCATTGCATCAACAGCTGGGATTTGAAATGCTTGGAGATTATTTAATTTTATAGCACTTATAAATATCTATAGAATTTAAAACCATTGTGCTATTATGACGCAATTGCTACTTTAACTCCACTTTCAGTAAAATGCAAAACAACACCAGACCTTGATGCCTCACCCCTCCAAATAAACATGACAGAAATAACACTTACAGCTACAGCCTCTGTTCTATGATCATCCATATGCTCAGTTTCTGTTAATTGTAACACCAGAGGACATATGTGTTCTTCTAGTTTTACTGTGGATTAAAAAGATAAGTTAATTCATACTTTATTTTTATCAAGTATCACATCTAATAAAATACTTTGAAAATTAGTGGGCTTTACTGTTCAGACATGAGCATTAAAACAACCCTATTCTAATTAATTTTGAACCTTTTACAACAGTTTCATGTTTTAAAATGTAGCTTTGTTTGCTATTAAATGAGCTTGTTTTAAAAGTTTAAAACTTTATTTTCAGTTAAATGCTTCTCTGACTATGATAGTCAGTATCATTCAAACTGCCACAGATACATATTACTTAAATTCGAATAGTTTAACAAATTACTATCATCCTCAAACAGTTTTGTATGATGCATAGTCAGGAGAATCTTTAAAATAACTTGGTTGCTATTCAAAACAGTTACAACCATATTTCAATTCTTATATTTAGGCTATTAACTCTTTTGTTGCAGCTGGGCCATATATTTCCCAGTGCACTGGAAAATATACATCCCAGCCACAGTGAATGGGTTAAGGATAACATTAGTTTGTCAGCTCTCAATAAAACACATCAGAGGTCAGCAACAATTCTCTTATAGGGCACTGCATTATTATGAAAAGATGTCATCATTTCAAGTTGAAAGACAGAAATTATTTTCTCTTTTTATTTAAGGCTGGATTACAATTAATTTTTTTTTATTTTAGGTGACTACAATGTTACAGAAACCTACTTCTCAAAAGTAGGTCAACATTCTATTTAATTATGGGGTAAGACAATGTTTTGTGATTCAACAATAAACTGTGGTAGACTTCACTTATGGAACTGAAGTACAGGTATGAAGCAAACCTGTAACAGCTATTGACTAGTGAAACGTTGTTTTGTTGTAACAACAGCCTATTAGTTCTACAATTCCCAACAAGTGTCTAGCAAGTCACAACTTTACTGTAACAAATACTGTTTAATCACATAATAGCAAGAGCTACTGTATAACAGTTCACAATTTTCAAGCAACAATTACCATCTAGAAGTTTATTCTCTTTCTGTAACAGTTGCTCTCTACTTGTTAAACAATATTCCAGAAACAACTACTACCCAACATCTTCCACTTATTTCAATTCTAATGTTTGAATTTGCTTTTTAAACCTTCTTCTACAAAAATTTAAGTTAATTTGTTTGTAGCTACTGGTTACATTTTCTTTATTATCATAACTTTGCTATGATAAAAATTTGTCTCTGACATCAAATAGGCACTTTTTTGTTACAAGTTTAAATAATAAACATGGAAGTTTATAAAATGCTCACTAACACAAACCTTTTTCGATCAATTCCTGTTCCACCATCACCATCAGAGCAGCTTGTGTTGTTTTACGAACCTAATTTACAAAACAAAATAGTAATGATGATAATTTTTACACCTCCACTGAAGCATAAAATAAAACTTGTAAAAAATATGTCCAGGGCATTTTTATAAGAATGTTATGACTGCTTACACCATACCACTATATATTTAGTCCCCAAATAATATGACACACAACATTTAAATAGAGTGCATGCAATTAAAAAATATTCATTAAGTTCAGACTCAACATGTTTCAAGCTAAGCACTCTAGCACTGTAAGACTGCAGTGACTCCAAGGGAAAATAAGGATGTACATCTATATTTTAGTATATAAACCTATAGTATGTTTTGGTATTAGCTGTATTTTGTAAACTAGTAATCTTACCGAGTTTGTAAAAATTAAAAATAAAGATTGAGCTGGAGGCCCCCTTCCTAGTGTGATTCCAAATTGCCCCATGCAATTGTATGGGTTGCACCCCCCTCTAAATCTGGCACTGCTAAGAATACAAACTTATATCCTCACTATTAGCTCGTTGTATATTATTTTAAGAAAATCAAAGATGTATGCTTTTATCCATTACCTACCAATGTAATGTTTCATAAAACTAAAAATATATATATTTCAATCTACTGTTGGCCCCTAATATTTTTCTAAAACAAAATATAAAGTTATATACCTTAAATCATCATTACTACATTGTTAACAAAGATCAAGACTATACATTCTATACATGTTACTACATGCCATTTTCATTTGCAAAAATTGTTTTATATACTTTTATCTACTATTAAAACACCGTAAGTAAATTATACACAAGGATACACACTTTTATCTACTCATGACACTTAGAAAGTACTAAGGATCAGAAAATTATTTAAACCACAACTAATGAAACCCAAGTTTCAGAAAGATAGATCTTCCTTCATCAGAAATACAATGAGATAAAAGAAAGAGTGGACTTTTTATTTCTTTTGTAAGATCATAGGTTATTACAGTGTCTCATTCTTAATAACTGAGAAGTTCTCAAGTTGTGCAGCAGTGAAATACATAACTGCTGTAACAGTGACTTGTGGTATACTTAGGAGAGAATAGGGCTAAGCAAGATAATTAAAAAAAAAACAGGAAGGTACAGGACAAATATTTGAAAAGCAACAATAAAGAATTGAATGAATTGGATAAAGTATACTGAATGAAGCCTAATAGGTCATAAAATGTGATTGTGAATTAAAATTTGAAATACTTAGCTTATCTGTAAGATATTCAAAGAATAAAGAAGAAAACCGAAAATTCAGAGATTAGAGTAAAGAATGTGATTTCTTAAAAATGAAAAGAGGCAGAAAAAAAAAATCTAGCAGTAATCTGTACGTAGTGAAGGATGAAATAAATTAGACAGAAAAACTATGGTTGTTCGTCAGAAATCTTATATTCTTGCAACCACTGTTGAAAATCACATAAAAAAGTCAAGTCTGTCTTTGAAGATAGAAAATTATAATTAGATGCAACAAGTTTGCTTACCTGGTTGTTAATATCAGTAAGATATTTAACGACAGTTGGCACTATAACTGAGGGTATTATATCTGCTAAGTAACCTCCCCATTCATAGCAAAAAGTTCCAATGTGAGGAATTTGTTCCATGAGTTCAGCACGAATGCTTGGCTCTGAAAGTCAAAGATATAATCCGTTTAATTCTTCAAGAATATATACATCTGTTTAACTAACAACTACACTTTCACAATATCTATAAAGGATACTAAAAATGTGCAATAATTTAAAAAAAATAAAAAAAAAATTTTAATTCTTTTAAACCCAATATTTCTTGCACATTCTGCAGGAATTATTTTCATGATGTCCTAATATTTATCACCATACCTTATAAAAATTCCAGTCTATTTATAAAAGGTTGATAATAACATGGTTTGGGTTATTTTTTCTCCAAAGAGACATGTTATCAGACGGCCATCACCGTCCGATGGGTAAATCAGGATTTGCAGGAATTATTTTCATGATGTCCTAATATTTATCACCATACTTTATAAAAATTCCAGTCTATTTATAAAAGGTTGATAATAACATGGTTTGGGTTAGTTTTTCCCCAAAGAGACATGTTATCAGACGGCCATCACCGTCCGTAAATCAGGATTTTTGGCTGGATGCTGGCAGCATTTGCCTAGTTTAAGGAGTTAATAAAGAACCAATTTTCTCTATCGAAATTCAGTGCTTATTATTATTTCAATGCAGTCAGAAACCTAAATCTAGAAAATATCCAAACAATGTGTATGTTCTAAAGAATACATATTATATGCTTTACAGTTTTCTACAAATTAACAAAAAAAAGCAGCACTGAACTGACATTTTATGTCACTATCACTCACATAATGTATAGACTAAAAGAGTTAAAATTCATCTATTCAAAAAATGTTTTAATAGCATTTTAATTTATGACGTTCATTTAGTGATTTTAACTTCTTGCCATAGATGACAGAATTAGTATTGAATTCTATACCAATACCCCACTTTTTTATACCAATATTCACAATTACCATGCTGGTGCATGAATACTTGGATCTTTTTCAAAGGAATTCCTCCCAATTCAGACATGTGCACTAAGCAAAAAATAAAATTTTCTAGTAATAAGTACACTTTTGACACTGGGCCAAATAAGGCAACTCTTGAAAACAAACTTTCTTCCTTTGGCTCACTGTGCTAAGTGGATCCTCTAAACTTAACTTGTATGTTTCATTTTGTCTTTCATTGCATCTTAGACACAAATAACAAAAGACGGACAAAATTTTCACAGCAGCACTCATTCAGCTGCTACAAACACAATGCAAATGCATGTGTGGAAAAAAAATTTCACAATCCAAAGAAAACTTGCTATTGGCTGGAAATGTGCATGTGTATACATTTCTATTTTAACTGTCTTACCCTAAGTTTGTCAATCATTAAGCCAGAATACTAGTTTAAAAAACTAAAACAGTTAGGATTCAAAAACATGTTTAAGAATGTGTTGTAAGTTTTTCTACAGTTCGTTTGTCTCTACCTTGCCCTCCAAGGCTGAACTTTCCTTTTTGTTGGATTTTATTTTTCAATAGCCTTACAGAAAGTAAAGAGCTCACACTTACACTATTACTATGAAGCTAGACTCATAAATGAATCATAGGTAAAAATGTTTTGTGAAAATCTAAGAGAAATGATTTGTTTTTATACGAATAATATTTAATTTTCATTTTTAGAATTTAATATACTTATGTATTTAACTCTTTTCTTTGCAGCTTTTAGCTCACTTTTTGTAATAAGTACAAGTATTTCAGTAATCAGTTGAGAGATTTTAGTTATACTACACAACATGCCTGTAATAAGTACAAGTATTTCAGTAATCAGTTGAGAGATTTTAGTTATACTACACAACATGCCTGAAATAAGTACAAGTATTTCAGTAATCAGTTGAGAGATTTTAGTTACACCACACAACATGCCTGAAATAAGTACAAGTATTTCAGTAATCAGTTGAGAGATTTTAGTTACACTACACTACATGTCTGTAATAAGTACAAGTATTTCAGTAATCAGTTGAGAGATTTTAGTTACACTACACTACATGTCTGTAAATAAGTACAAGTATTTCAGTAATCAGTTGAGAGATTTTAGTTA